TTCAAACCCAGTCATCTATTGAGGGTAGATACGCCACAAACAACACGAAAAAGGTTCACAGATACTTGCATTGGGGTTAACTGGACTTGATGCAGAAATCGGCATACCAATGGGTCAAGAGGAAACCGAACCCCTCCTTCGACTATGGCCGCGATGGGAAAAGCGACGGTATTCCTTATGCCCATACGCTTGGCGTCCACTTTCGCCAACGAAAGGGTAACGTCGTTGGGAATATTGTAGTCCAAGCGGAACATAGCCATGGCCTCGGGGGTATCAACCAGTGAACAGAACTTCCCCATTCAACAAACCTAATGGGACAGAGGTAGGACTCAGATAACAGAGTATGGAACACAGACAGCGAGTGGGCCAAACAAGATGATTAAGACAGAAAGAGGCACGAGAAGAAGAATCACAAGAGGACTTACAGAGATTAGAACAGTGGCAGCAGAGCAAGATCTACGGCGAAAAAGTCTGAGCAGGGCACCAAAGAGACTGGTTCAGAGGAACGAGAAGAGTTCTTTCTCTCTATTTGAAACTCTCCAGAGGAACGAAAAGGCAGACAAAGGGATTTGTATTGACAGCCAGAGCATTAATTGCACTAGCCGACGCGCAGGTACACGGAGCACGACCTTCTGTATGGAATCGACGCACTATCCCTGCACACCTATCTCACATCGCCACGTGTCACCATGAAAGGACGCATGCAGGGATTGTGTGTCAAGATTGAACTATCACCAAGGCCGAACTGAGAAACAACCGAAACGACGCGTCGCTTGAGAAACAGAACAATAGCTCCCCCCAAGGGGAACCTTAGCACGAGCTAGGGGGCAAATGAATGGGCTAAATGTGAAATGGGTCGGGTCCAAGCCTTGGGTCAGCCCAATCCATTGAAGTCCGAATCCAAATAGGCTGGATGAGTATATAGGCAAACCAATTGAGCCCAACTTCATGATCAACAATCCACCCAAGTCCTCAAGCACTTGGGCCCAACCGGCAGTGGAAAGGCTAGTCCAGCCGTAGTGCTGGGCTGGGCCGAGCTGCGAAACTAAACCTTTGGGCCGAACAGAAAATAGGCCGAGCTCGTACGAAAATATCCAAATAAGATTAGCCCATCTCCCACGAATGATCCTGTAAAAGGCCAAGACAAGGCATAATGATGCCAAGCTGAGGCGCATCGGTACCGAACTGAGGAAATCTCGCAGGGAAATATGGAAGTTGTGAATGTGTGCATGTGCAAGTTGCCACCTCAACTGGTCCCCTACACCTAGAATCACGGAAGTTGTTGAACCAAAGGAATGTGGTTTGTTATCAGCATGACTACAATGAGTATATGCATTCAATGACAACTACCAGGTGGTCCCCTACCTTGAGCAATGCTAAAAGGACACCTAGCAGCATCTAAGCTCCGTGAACCCACCTTGAGAAGCAAGCAAGGAACATTATGTGTACAACATGAACTTCACATGGAAGGTAACTGAACAATTCCAAGTAAAACTACAACTCTCTTTACACTTCTTCTCCGATCGCTAATTCCCATACCGGAGGGGTTATCCGGCCGGGCAGCTCTAACGGTGCTTCCTCTGGCAGGAATCTCAGTCCCTGGATAGTCCAACCGAGTGCAGGGCCCCGATCCACTTTCATTTAGTGCGGAATCCGATACGCACACTTAGTGAGTGGTGTTACAAATTCAATTTTGCTATTAGTGTAATCATACAGGATTATCTATTTTTAAAATTCTTGTCACATATCTCTAATGCACTTTCAATGACAAAATTATGCGTTAAAATTTTATATATTTTGAGATTTTTAATATATTATGTGGTTCCAATAGATATGTAATAAAGTAGTAATTTGACACATATCCTGGGCGGTTTGAATGTCATGAATTGATGAGCTTTCTTATTTTCAATGTTCCACAATTGTTAGTATACACCTCTCATCATAAATTTAGTATTTTTACATTTTATATGAATTTAAACTCTATATTTTATTAGAGCCGTGCTACCGACCCTTACTGACAACTCCTAGTGAAGTGTCGCCTTTCCATTGGCTGAAAACAAAAACAAAAAAAATAACAATTTTTTTTTTTGTCCCAATCACACGCGACCCCCAGTTCCCCACTGGGGTCGGAGGCTTTTTCCATTTTATTAACTCATTTAGACACAAGAGTGGCAGAGATTAGTAAATTAAGTATGCCGTGTGCATGCAATGGAAGAAAATTTAAGTTTGCTAAGCATAACTATTTCATTTGGAAGTGGTTACTCGGTTCCAAAAGTTTAAATTATTAGCATTGAAAAGCCAATGTTAATATGTGAGCTATATTGTATATGTACGAGAAGAAACAACAAAAAATAATTCAAAACAGAAAATTAGAAATTGTTTAAGAATTTTAGTGCGTGAAATTCTAGGAGCTGCATTGTAATGATTATTAAATTAAATTAGTTTTTTTTTTATAAATAATTCCTTTTTTTTAAAATGAAAAACACATAAGAAATATGCTCTCGTTGAGAGTCGAACTCAAGACCTCCCGCTTACTAAACGGGTGCTCTAACCAACTGAGCTACGAGAGCTTACCGTACAATTGTTATTCATTAAATAATATATATTAAAATAATTTGGAAACCCATCGCTACTAGAAATTGTGTGTATTTTCTATCTCATTTTCTATTCATTATAATATACTCACATCCCATAGACTCCGTACCCATATATGAGTACGTGTACAAAAATGCCAAGATTGTATGAGGTATTAACACGTCGCTATGTCACATGTGATGTGATCTAGATTTTGTTGTTTAATATTTAATAAACATATTGCTATGTCACATGTGATGTGATCGTAAATTTATCACGTAGTTATTGAATATTCTTAGAGTATGATCATGTGGTATTTTATGGTATTATAATTGGTAGAAAAAATAGAATTCATGATTTTGTATCAGGTAATTAAGTAACATGAGAAGATATAGTGTATAATAATTAGTGAATGAATATGAACACATGATACTCTAAAAATATTGAATAGTTTTCAAATTTATCTAATATATCTTTTAGCAAGTTATTCAATCTTAAGGGCTTCTTTTGGAAATTAGTTAAAAATTAGGTTTGTTGGCTAAAAATATACATACAAAGAAAATTAATGTTAAAAAATGTTTATTTCATATATTCTTAATTTTTTTTTTCTAAAGATTTTTTAAGGTGACTGAAATAGGCTTTTTATTGAGAAATATATTTATTAAATGAGCTAAAGTTTTTTTAGTCAATAAATTGAATTTTATGCCATTATACTAAGGATAAGTAAATCAATCAATAATATATAATTAAAATAAATAAATTTTTAATATTTAAACATAACACAAATAAATAATAATAATATTAATATATGCCAACAATTACGAATATTGTAGTAAAGTCCAACTTAAGGTTAAACACAATCGATACAAATAAAATCAACTCATGTAAAATCCAACCCAAGTTTCTAGTATTTCGTTCGTCTACTTTCCTTTGACCAATATGAAATAAAGTTTACTGCAATAGATTAATTAGGTGAAAATGTGTCAATGTAAATAAAATTTTATATAATATATAGGAGGATTTGGTCAAAATCTCCTCATAATAAAATTTTAATGCAATTGTAAAAAAATTTCCTTAAAAAGTCTAACACATACCATTATTATCAAAATATTAAATTTTAAAATAATATAACTTTTGATCTAGATGTTAATTTTTTAAAAAATTAATATTTTTAGAATTCTCTCATCAAGATCTATCAAATAAAATCTATGTTGATTACGAAATTCTTAAAAAAAAAAAAATTATTATTGCCGAAATTAATGTATACAATAACATGTTATTCTGTTTGATAATAACATGTTACGCTGTCTCACAAAAACATGTTATTCTAGTTTACAGTAATATGTTACTCTGTCAATATTGTCAAAAAAAAAAAGATATTTAACTTCGTGCTTGCACAATTATGTACGTCTTCTTTAGGAGGTTTATGAAGTAAAATAAATTGAACTATCATTTTCATTAAGCTATGGTCCAATAGAAGAATGTTAACTAAATTTTCCTAATATATATAGGTTCAATTTTTAAGTTGATTCAGTTTAGAGCATCTCCAACCCTGAACTTCTTTTGTTATCAAATCCGATGAAAAAAATGATGCTTTCCTCAATTTGATACCACTAGCTCCAATGCTTCACTTTTTATCAAATTTGCTCCGAGAACAACCGGTTGGTCTGGTTGACCAGTAAGACGAATTTTTTTTTTTTTTTTTGAACTGTTTAACCCTGTGGTGGTCGACCGGTTGGTCGACCAGTAAAGAAATTTTTTTTTTTTTTAAACTATTTGAACTTTTTTTTTGAACTGTTTAAATCTTTTGGTGGTCGACCGGTTGATCAATCGGCCGGTCAACCGACTGGTCGACCGGTTCGTCTCCCCCAACGGTCATGCATAGTGTTTTGGTGAAATGCGAAGCTTGTCCTCACTTTGGTGAAACGTTTGGTGAATTCTCGATTTGATATCAATTTGGTGAAACCGTTGGAGCTCCAAACAGTGCTTTTTTCACCAAATTTCAAATTTGATGACAGGTTTGGTGAAGCGTTAGAGATGGTCTTAGACGAAGCTTGAACAAAGAACAAATCCAATCCGAGTTGACAAGTTTGAAGTCCCAGAGCTGAACCAGTGCTCAGAAACCGAGCCAACCCAGTCCAGAGAGGTCAAATTGGTTTGGTTCTTCGGTTTACTCCGACTATTTTGTGCACCCCTAGTTCATACCTACCTACACACCTGTGCAACCCAATTCTATCTTATTACGAAACAGATCTAAGAACAGAATTGAAGTCATATGCAGGATCTGATTGTGACAAAATTTGAAATAATCAACTCAACATTTACCAGAAATAGCAGTCACTGATATTTGAAGTCAAACTTAACATTGAAAAGCATCCAACAATCTGAAATGACAGAAATTTCCTTGTATACAATGTGCCAGTGAATTTGAGCTCCTAAAATAGGATAACATTCCATTTTATTTCAAGAAAGAATACAAAATATTTAAGTTTATCGCCTCATAAAAATGAGCATTTGTGACAAAATAACAAAGTCACCTGGGGTTGGGGTAATTCTAATGAATTCACACCCGGTCTATCGGCAAAAGACCCTCCTCACTTAGCCAAATTACAATAAATGCTCTATACATGGACCCATAGTAGTCACAAGTAATACACCGGCATGTAAATTTTGAATGTAATAAAAAATTTGAAGAAGAAGAAAATTAATCTAGTGTATCTACCTGGGGCAATTCAAAATCCCCCGTTCTTCCAAAATGAAGGACGTGTGCCAGCATGTCTCGGCATGTTAAATTTGAAGAGAAGAATCTCACAAACAAACACTTGAAGCAAGATTTATGAAGAAGTGTGTTTCCCAATCACAAAAATATTTCCTTGAGAATTAAGAGGACCAACATAACGAAGCACATGATAATGAGAATTGTAGCACACTTCACCATCCCCCCTTGTTTCTGTGTTCTCTCTGCCTGTAAATACCAATGATGCCCGACACAACATTGCCACGGGAAATAATATGAGAGAGTGAGGGGAACAAGAACTTAGCAGAAATTTTAACATACAATTATATACAATGGTGAAAAGAGGAGGAGAAGAGGACCTTCTGCAGCTGTTTAAAGCCCTCCTCGACTGATGCTGCAACATTCTGAATGTTGTAATCTATCCTATCAACAATAGTGCCCTGTTTGGAAGCATAAATTCAGTTTGTGACCTTAAAATCTTTGAGGAAGTTCCTGATCCAATAGAAAGGATGCATAATTTCTAACCTGGTCAATGATGAGCACTGATAGATCCTTCATAATCTGAGCAAGGTCATTTACTGATTCCACAACCTACCAATACCAAAACCAAAACAAGGAAGAAAAGAAATTAAAAATTCATTTGGCCAACTGAAAATGAAAGCATTACAGTGATGCAAGAGCTTTCACTTACCTGCTGTATCTCTCTCTCCCTTTCTGCGGTGAATGCCTCACTTTTCCTTAGCTTAGCCATTTGATGCTCATTAAACCCCTAATAAATAATTTGCAAGAATAATGTTAAAGCTACGCTGGGAATATATTTTTTTTTAAATTTGTGTATGTCAAAGTTTAATATTGATGAAGGGAGGAGAAACCTCCCAAAAGTTTGTCACAATAAGCCACCCCATTCCAGCCAACCCCAAGACCTAAAGAAGAAAAGGGAACAAATGTACATGCAAGCCACACAAAACGCAGTTTCTAGAGTCACTTCGATTTCAAGAATTCAATCAGCAATCACAACCCAGTCAGGAAGATATGCTTTGCTCAAACACCAAAATAACAAAAAAATAAAAAATGTGAAATCCAAGTATTTGTTCACAAGTAGAGCACAACCCCAAGTGGTCTCTAGAATCCCTTCTATGTATGAGTAGGGCTGCACGTTACGCTGATTGAACCCGAACAGCCTGAACCCAGACAGACCTTTTTCCAGGATTGGACATGTTCTTTCAAAAATCAGACCAGGCTAGGGCTCAGGCTGTGTGTGTGTGTGTGACCTCATCCCAAATTGAATTTGGGCAAGCCTGGCAGAGATAGTGGCTAACCGGAGCCTGGTCTATATGCGTATTTGTGTTTAAGCATATTTGTTTTCTTCTGATACATACGATTTATTTAGAAATTTAAATTATAATTTAAAAAGCTACATTGTGTTGCATCAAGTGTTCCTCCTACTACTAGCAACCACCGCAAGTCTTTCAACGGTAGCAAAGAACTTCAAACTTTATCCAACTTCTTTTCAAGTCCACTCTGTATGTGTGTGCATGCGCGTGTATGTGCATTCATGTATGAGTTAGCAATATGTACATATATATAGGGCATGTTACGAGCATTAACTAATTTCTTGAAGTTTTTTAATCAATCCATTAGTCCATGGTTTTTCCTTTTTCCAGATCTGGATCTTCTATTGAAGATTGTGACATATTCAGGCAACTAGAGTTCATAAGTTGGGCTCAGGCTGGACTTGATTTGGTGTACTTCATGCTTGAGTCTCTCTGCATGGCCGATAATGGGCAAGCCCATCAGGTTGGGTCTGATCAGATTAGAACCCCAGATCAATCAAACCCACCCAAGCCTATTTAAAGATGGACTGTTCAATTACCCAACAATACTGACCAAGGAACAAAAAAGTACCCATTAAACAGTTTGTTGTTAAAAAAAAAACGTAGCTTGCTACTTAACTATATAATGCTTAAATTCTTAATAAAACCCCAAAAAAATTATTGCAAAAATCTTCATATCATGGATTTCTGACCCATGTAGTCTACATTAAAAATTTGATTCATCTTGCTGATCAAGCAGTAAATTCAGTAGATTCTCCATATCATGCATGTATTCATAATTTTATATGTACATGCATATGTAGAAAGAGATAAAGTATTACACATGGGAAGTAGAAAATCAGCTTACTATGTCATCAAATTCGTCATCTTCTCTTCGGGAATTATATCCATTTAAGTTCATTTCTATGTCTACCCCATCTGGTTCGGGACCCTACATCACAAGGCAATATTAGAAAAAGTTTGCAGGCATCCACTTCCTGACAAATTAACAAAAGCAGAGCATGGTAAACCAGCGGGGTAAATCATGCAAGGCAAAGCAATTCCAAATGCCAGAAAGAAGAGAAATGTGTCACATTAAGCTGTAAAGTACAAAGCCAAAACATGGTCCTAATAAACTCTGTTATCAGAAAAATGGAATAGAAAAATTATGTGCAGACCTCTTTCTGTTGCCGCAGGCGTTTCAAATAAGTTGACTGTTTCTTGCGAAGTTCCATCGAAAGGCTCTGCAGGTCAGTGGCAAGAGAGCGCTGGAAAGGAAACATTGAAACAGCTTATCAGAATCACCCATCTTTTGAGGAGATACAAGCTGACAGAACATAATAAATGTCATCATGCACAACTCTAGAAATCACCCCAGCTTAGGACAACAAACGATAAAACTTTCTGCAATCATTGACTTTGATAAAGTTAAATGGAAATTTCCCAGCATGAGAGCAACAGTTCAACAAAAGAGAAAAGATGACCTTTTGCCTGATTTCCCATTATCACTGAAAAGGTGGAAAGAAAAATGAACAACCAGATGCCTATAAACCTTTATATAGTATAGATGCCAAACTGCATTAAAGGGGGAGCAATCAGTGAAAGGCAACCGTTCAACCATTCAAGTTGAACAAAAAAATCAGAGTAAATATCTTTATTAAGTACGAAAATTCCTTACTGCAAGGAAAAAAATTAAGCCTGCAGGTGTAGTGATTTTTAGTGGCAGGAGAGGGGGGATCTTAATGAACCATTGAAGCATTTATTAGAAAAAAAGTGACAAACCTTTAGCACAAAAATAAATTCTCAAAGAAAGTCAAAGTTTATCATACTGTAACAAGTAACAAGTTGTACCAAAGGCAACATTATGACCAGCAGCTACCAAGTCATACCTGCACATTTTTCCTAATATTTGAATCCTCAGAAGGCCCGCCAGCAGAGAGTCTCTGTAATCTCTTCTCTGATTTTTTTAAAAGACCAGTTATCTCCTGAGTAAGAGCCTCAATTCTGCATTGGTCTTCTTTACCATCTCCAAATGAGGGCATTAAAGCCTTGGCATGAGCCTTGGATAGCTCACCTATTTTCACCCGCACACGTTGCACATTTGCTGCTATTTCTTCAGACACATCGACCCAAGCAGGAGGTAGACCCACTGTCAGTGCACCTCTACTGCAGCAAACAACCAAATATTTGACTCTAACCAGGGAGAAATCCATACACTTCCTTATTACAGAACGAGAGTGCATACAAAGTAAAAATAAAAGGAGACAGTTCCACATAATCAGAAAGCCCACTAAACAAAACCTGTTTTCATTTATTGAGATCTGACACTGTAATTAGGGTATTGATGAGCCACTTTTGGAGCACAACATTCTATTCTACTGCTTTAATTTATATAGTGTTAAAACAACTTCTTTTTTTTTTTTTCCTTTTCAAAAAAGTAAATTGTATTAGAAAAAACACCAAAACCAGATGAGATGATCCGGTACACCAATAATAGATCAACAGCTATATCACTATATCTCTGCAGGAATTTACAATTCCCCAAAAACTCTGAGAGAGAGAGAGAGAGAATTGAAGCAAGAGGCTCTAAAGCTTCAAACATTCATCTGAGAGAAGAGATGTTAAATAATTGGGTACTTGAGGTGATTGCAGTATTATAAACGTAGTACTGAAGATAATAGCATGATGAAAGACGTGATGGGGGGTGAAAGAGTGGGATGAATGAAGTTTGCATGGAAACAATGGTGGACTTAGATTGGATGGTGACAATATGGTGATAAAACAAGATAAGTATAGTTGGATGATGCACATTGATGGAAATGTGTGTTGAGGTTGGCAAGCATAACTGTGCCCGGATCGTGATGAAAGGCATGGTGATCTAAAATGTGAGACAACAATAAAGAGTTATATTTCTGATCATTGTATTTTCCTCCACCTCTCAGTGGCAGAGCCAAGAAATTAATCTAAAGAGAAAACTATAGTTTAAGGTCCTTGGCTTACCTTAATTGACTCCTAGGGCCCTAAATCAGTCATAATACTTACTCCTAAAATTGCAGGCCTGCAGCTGCAATGAGTTATAGTCTTTAGTATGCAAAGGATTGTTTTTTTCTCTTCCCCTTCTTCCTCATATTTCATTTATTTGGTTTAGAGATTTCAGTATGTTATTGTTTAGATGTTTCAGGTGTGTATAGGTTTAGAGTTGTCCTTTTTTATTTGATTTTTGTGATCTTAGTTTACACACAATTATGTTCAACAGTGCAAACAACTTCATCGACAAGAGAGAGAGAGAGAGAGAGAGAGATGCAACTACAGAGCTGTTTCAGAGGTATTCAGTGTATGCTTATCAAGGATAATTGATGAAGCATTAAATCTGGTTTAGAAAGCTGCATTGCAGAATTACAACAATCTACAAATCTTGATAAACCAATCAGAGAAGAAACCATATTACTGCCAATGAAGGAATTGAGGTGGATTGATAAAAGGAAACTGTACTTGCTGCTTGAGAAGAACAAGGGAGGACTATAAGTATACAGAGAAATAGCATTTTGGTAAGAGAAGAAATGTTCTACAAATTATTTTACTCCACAAAACTTCAAGACAAAATATAAATACTATATTTTAAAAATAGAAGGGGCTTCACTTGAAATAAACATTTCAAAGGACCAAATTGCAAGATTTTTTTTGAAAAAAAAAAGAGAAAAAATTAGGGCCTAAAAATGATCTAGAGTGAGCATATAGAAATTTTGAGGAGAGCAAATCAGAAAGGTTTTCTATAAATAAAAGAAAAGGTGCAATTTTTTAATAGAGGGGGCCTAGAGTGTTGGGCAACTAAGAAACAACAAGTGCATAAAATGTGTTTAGTTGAGATGAGAAATGCTTGGATAGATGTGTGGTAGCACAGAAAAGATAGAATTTAAAATGAATATATCCATGAAATGGGAGGAGTAGCACCTATTGAAGATAAATTAAGAGAGAACATGTTAAGATGGTTTGGTTATGTACAACGAATACCAGGGGAGGGGAAGAAATAAGTTAACATGGGATGCAATAGTGATAAAATATATAAATTTATTTAATTTTACTAGAGCATATAGCTCTTGATAGAGCTGAATAAAGAAAAAAGATTCATGAAGCCGACCGCATTTGATTGGGACACAAGGCTTGGTTTGGTTTGGTTTGGTTTGGGGAGGTACCCCCTTCATGCTCTATGTAAATCTGCAACTACCCCTGGTCAACTTCTTCGACCTCCAAATGTATCAACTTCTTATGCCAAGATACCTATCATCATGCTTCATACGCCATATTGTATCAGTATCGCCATACCTTCCACGACTTTTCAAACATCTCCTTACTTTCAACCAACCAAAACCATCTCTTCAAACTTACCATCTCATTCCCTTATTGACCCATACATCCAAGTTACCACACCTTGCATTCCCTTATGCCACCCATTCATCCAAGTTGGCACACCTTGCATCATGTTGTGTACTCTTAGCATCCTCTCCTTTCAGTATAGACAAACCAATCCCAATCAATCATCCAAACCTAAGTAATTATGTAAAAGGATACAAGAACAACCACAAAGACACATTGTCAATGAATAAGATAGAAGCCCAAGTTAAACCTTATGTCCTAATCAGGTGGGATCGGCTACATGGAGCATTTTCTTCATTCCATTTTGTGAATGACTATATTCTCTGTTATATTAAATAAATTAATATCCTTTTTTTTACCACCACATCCCATGTTAGTTTATGTCTTTCCCTTCCCTTAACATTTCCATTTACAATGATCATATCACTCTACAATTGAATTTACCTATCTTCATTGAACATGACCAACTCATCTTAGCATATTCTCTCTCAACTTATCTTCAATCAATACTACTCCTAACATTTCACGAATAAATCCAATTCTAATTAATTCTTTTCTAGTCTTACCCTCATCTCAGCTATACTCTGTTTATGAACATTTTGTTTTTCATTGCCTCACATTTTGTCTTGCAAAACATCATTGGTCTTACAACTGTTTTATAAACTTTTTGTTCCAATCCTCTAACATCTTGATCATTATTAATAATCAACGTAGGTAATGAAAATGTTCACTTTTTTTGTTTATATGTTTAATTTTCAATCTTTACTTCGCCACTATTTATACTTCTATTGCTACTAAAACTACATTTCATGTGTTTAATTTTAATTTACAAATATTCAACTCTTTTGACACAAGTACTTCTCCCAATAATTCTAATTTACTGGTGATTAATCCATTAGTTTCATCCACTCTAACAATATCAATTGCAAAAGACGGAAACTCAAATGCACAATCTATACTATTATATAAAGCCCACAACTCATTTTGGTGTGAATTGTCACTTTTTTTCATCCCCAAATTGCCCCTGTACACTCATAGTTTGATTTTGAATTCCAAATTTCGACAAATGTTCTTTTCTTTCTTCTACATTCAATTGGTTAATTTTGATAGCGCGCCCATCGATTGTTCACACCGTCTAGTATGCATACATGAATGCCACAGGTAGATACAAATATGTGCATATATACATAGAGAGAGAGAGAGAGATGTACCTGGAGGCTCCGGGATCCTCTGTACTGAGAGGAGCATAAGAGCGATTGGGATTAAGAAGCGAAGAGGTCGACAATTCGATCACAGGGCCTCCAGAATTCGAGGAGGGAGATGAAAAGGACGTGGAAGAACCCGAAGGAACACGAACGCTCTTCAGTGCATCTCTGTACTTCTTATACAAGATTGTCCGATTCCTCGACGCCATTTTTGATCCAAAACACCAAAAGTCAAAAACCAACACCAAGTATTCTGTGTAGATCTGAAAACGATCTGGTAAAAAATCGAATTGTCATCGTTAGTTAGGTCCAAAAATGTTCAGAAAAGCTGGGGTTTGTTGATTGAGAAGCGAATGGTGGTGATGAAGAAAAGAAAGAGCAGTGAGAAAAAAGAATTGTGATTGGTCGGAGATCTGGGGAGGGTGACAGTGCCGGTGAAGTTGGAGAGCGGCCACAGCGGAGGTTATTTTAGCTCTGGGTGTTGGGTGGGGTCCACTTTAATGGCTCGGGGAGTTGGTTATTTGACTAGATTTTAGTTTGTCTTGTGTTTAAAAAAAAAATGTTAAATTTTTTTATAATTAAATATAATATTTATGGAAAAAAATTAAAATAATTATGAATTTAATGTGATATTTTATTTTATTAATTATTTTTAATTTTTTTAATTTTTAGTACATTTTAGCCCAAAAAATTTAAAAAAAAAAAAATCCAAACACCCCCAATCTGTGGGTCCTTCGTGAGGCTAAAATTAAGTGATTATTCGGTATTTTGAGAATACATTTATATAATACTTTATGATAGTATGATTGGTAGAAAAGGGTGTCTGGTGTAGCTTTTAAAACACATTATAAATTATAATTTAACAGATTATAGATTATGACTTTAATCAGAGACTGTTAAGTAATGTTTTGTTGAATAAGTTGTAAAAAACTTTTTACTGTAATCTCTTTTTTGCCCTTTATAACATATAAAAATTGTCATTTTTTCATTTTCTTCGTTTTAAATTTATAAAAAAAAATATTTCATTAATTAAGTTAATATAATTAGTATCAATTAATATAAAAATTGATACATTTCATTACAACAATTGTTATTTTATTTTTTTTCCCATTTAATAGAAGTTATTTCATATATTTTTTTCATTAATATCAATTAGGAATGGTTTTTTTTTTTATTACAATACCAAAGAATTTTATGTTATAAAATTCTTTTAATAGAAGTTATTTAAAATAAATAAATTGATATCAATATTAATTGAAATAAAATTGTGCAATTTATTTCTTTATTTAAATTGTACAATTGTGCAATTTATATCAATAATTGTGAAATAAATTGTGTAATTTATTTAATGGATATAAATTGCACAATTTTATTTCAATATTAATTGAAATATTTTTAAAAAAATTAAATGGAAGTTAATTGAAATAAATTATTTTTTTTCTTTTTTTTCATTACAATTTTGCAAAACCCTAGATCTGAGAAGTCGTCGCCACTGTCGGTGGTCTGCAAGAAGCCCTCTCTCAACTTATCCATCTCCTCCACCACCACCACCAAAAACCCTAGATCTGAGGAGCTTGTTGTCGCGATCTGGTCTTGAGGGTTTGAATGATAGCAGATTGCGATGACGATCATGGTGATTGCACCAGTTGTAGAAAGAGTATGAGAGAAAGAGAAAGACATCGCAGTGGTGGTTGAGTGCAATGGCGGCAATGCGACCGAAAATCACTGGAAATCGGAGAGAGAGAGAGATAGAGAGAGAGAGAAGAAAGGCACAACGGCGAAGAGAGAGAGAGCTTCACTGGAAATCGCCTATCTCTCTCTTTCTCAGAGTGAACAGTGATATCTTTGTGGTTTGTACAATGATAATTTGGTAATACTTCAAATTAGTGAATGGCATTTAAGTAATTTTGACCCTTTTCCGCTTAAGCTAAAAATTTGAAGCACCTTGGAGCAGCTTCTCAAATTCAACTTATTTGCCCTGCGGAAAAAGCTGATACAAGTTTAAGTTTAAGCTGATAAAAGTCTAACAAACAATTTGCTTTTGCTTTTCTTAAGGTAAAAACTATAAGTTGGGTTAAATAATCTAGAACAAACACCCCCAAGATATAGTATTAATTATTTGTATTGAGTAATTAAAAAACATAATAAATAGTGATTGGAGATAGAATATAACCACGTGATATTCTGAAATTATTTTATAATTTTCTGCAAAATTGTTGTTCTGTTTTTACATGTCAAAAAAAAAAAAAAAAAACTTTTTTACACAGGAAAAAACAAATAAATCAGATAAAATATATATATATATATATATATATTATCTTCTTTTATGTTTGGTAATTTTTAAAATTTTACTTTTATCTACTTTAGTCTTTATATTTCAAGTTTTTTTTTAATTTACGCGTAAATTTATTTTTTGTTTAAAATTATACAAAAAATATCACTTTAACTATCACATAATATAAAATATGTTATTATATTAAATTTGTATTTGTGTTAAAGGTGCGAGTTATATAATAAAATATTTTTATAGCAAATGATTTTCAATGTCATTTTCTGTCTAATTTTATATATAAATTAACTTTTAGAACAAATTAGGAAAAACTTAAAATATTAAGGGCCAAAGCCAAAAAATTACCAAATATAAAAGGAAAAAGTGTAATTTATCTATAAAAAAATTATGAAAAATTTTAAATTTTGGTAAGAAATTTAAAATATTTTTTTCCTTTCCAACTCAAATTCATGAATGATTCATATTTCAAATACTTCTTCCTTTTTCTTTCTAAAACTTCTACACAAATTCATGATTTAGCCACATTTTTTCTATTTTTTTTTTTTAAATTCATATTCAAATTCTTAAATATAATACAATAACCGCAACTATTTTAAATTTTTTATTTTATAATATTCACAATTATCAAATCATATGAAAATTTTAAAATATAAAAGTCTTCATACATAATTTAATTACTGTAAATATAAAATAAACATTAAAAACAAATAATTGGATGTCCTTGTTACAAGTTAAAGGGAGTGTTTTTTTTAACTGAGTTAAAGGGAGTGTTTGGTGTGGATTTTTTCACCCAACTTATAGATTTTTTAGCTTCTAAAAAGTTAAATTTGACTACTTGTTATATATTCTGCAAAACAACTTAAGCATATTTAAAAACAAATAATTGGATGTCCTTGTTACAAGTTGAAGGAAGTGTTTGGTGTGAATTTTTTCACTCAACTTATAAGGTTTTGTTTGGTAATTACATATTTTAATCAAAAAGTTATATAAATTATTCTATCATTTTTTTTTTAATTTTTTTGCACATCTTTTTATGAAAAGATAAAAAAAATTACTAAAATTATTTGCTCCGTTAAATTGGACTTTTTGTTACATTATTTTGAGAAGTTAGTAAAAAACTAGCTTTTGACTTTTTACCAAACTTTTTGACTTTTTTGGAAGTGATTTGGAAAGTTGGTAAAAAGCTGGCCTTTTGCTTTTTAATTTAATATTTATTTATGGTGTCAAATCAAATTAAAATAGCCAAAATACCCTTACCCAACATAAGAGATTTATTTTTTTATTTTTTTTCATAGGCCCTAATTTGTAATTTTATGGCTGCGTTTTTGGCACTTGCCAAATGACTTTTCTGGCGTTTTTTACAGCCATATTTTTTGATAAAATATCTAAAAACGTGACTTTTTACCATGTTTCCAAAATGGCACATATTCTAAAAAACAACTTAAGCTTATATATCAGCTTTTTTTTAGTAGGAAAAAAAATCTGATTACAAGAATCAGCCAATAGCCGCCTCTGATTCACCGTTTATGCAGTGGGTCTTCTAATTTATTAAACAAAAAATAGTGAGACCCCCTTTCCAAGGGACCCCACGACCCCCTTTACCTTTTGATTGGTTGAAATTGTTTGTTTATTTATTTATTTTTTTTCTCTCCCACTCACCAACCCCACGTGTGTGTGGGGGTGGTGGGAGTGAGAATATAAGAGGGTCCTAATCACAGCTCTTTATTAAAATGTTCATACCTTTTTCAAATATTTACAATTATACCATTATGTATACACAGAAGCTTAAGGCTGTATTTATTTAGTTGTGTTTCAAACACTTTTCCATCCACTCATTTGAGTGTGGTATTTGTTTTGAACTTTTAAATTATAATTTTATATTTACTTTTGAGATTTGTTTTCTCAAGTGAAAAAATTTGACTAATTCAGACGTCTAACTGATTGATCGGAACAATGTTCGGTTTTTTGTTTCATGGGCACATGTTATTTTTATATTGTAAATAAAGAATATTTTTAGATATTTTTAAATTTTTATATGAGTTTTGAATAGAATTTTAGCTTGTGTGTTTAGTTATGACTTGCAAATTTTTGAATTAAATAACTTTTTTAATTTCAAAAACTCAAAACTCTCTTCAAAACTTTTTTCAAAACTCATAATCAAACAAATTATTCACACTCAAATCATAATTTTAAAACTCACAAACTCAAAATGCAACTCTATTTTCAAATCATGTTTAAAAAACTTAATCAAACACTACCTAAAATTTTCAGTAGCAACGAAGAACTCTGTTGGAAATGGTTATAAAATTCTGGATAAAACCAGAATTTGTAATCAAACAAATTCTCTCATTTTCTTTATTTATTTAAATTCTATTTGTTGTTGTATACACAATAGAATTAAATCTTTTAAATACAGTGAAGATTGTCCTACAAACTCTCCAGCAGTAATAAAGCAACAAGAACTCCAGTCTGGTTTGGTTTAACTCTAAAAATATAATTTTTGAAAAAAAATTATAAAATTTTGTTTGGTTGAAATTTTTTTAATTTTTAAAAAAAAAATCACTTTATCTCTCATATACATTAATTAATCATTTTTTTTCTCTCACACACATTTACTTAACTACAACAAAATATTAAATTATCTAAAGTTCCCAAACTTCAAAACTATTTTCAAAATATATAACCAAAAAATAAAATAAAAATTTAATTTTCTCCTCAAATTATTTTTAAAAATTTATCTCAAAATACAAACCAAACGCACCCACCATCTCTCTCTCTCTCTCTCTGTTCGCTCTTTCTTCTCTGGACTTGGAAAAAATTGTGGGTATGGGTTGACTGGGGAGGACTTTTTAGGTTGTCGGAAGGGTTGCAAATGAGCTGAGCTGAGCCGAGCTTTAGTATGTTTGGGCTTGTTTATTAAGATTTTAACGAGCTCGAGCTCGAGCTCGAGTTGAATAAAAAATTAACGAACCGAGCTCAAGCCGAGTTGACTTAAGCTCAGCTCGACTCGAGCTCGAGCCTGTTCACGAGCCTTAACGAGCCAAAAAAATTATAAATTCATACCTACATGTGAGACTAAAGTTACAATTAAAACTTTGATTATACAATTATATATACAATATATCTATAAACATACTAAAAAAAAGTCAATATTTTACTAAAATAATAATATCTACTATCACTATTATGTAAATGTACTATCTATAATTAACTATTATTTACATTTATATTTTTTAAATATATAAATAGCATATTTCTCTTATTTTTTACACATATTTTTATATTATTTAATATATAAATAATAAATATTAAACGAGCCAGTTAACGAATCGAGCTTTAGAATGTTTGGGCTTGTTTATTAAAAATTTAACGAGCTCGAGCTCGAACGCAGAAAAAATCTAACGAACCGAGTTCGAACGAGCTCTTACCGAGCCGAGCTCGAGCCTGTTCATGAATGGCTCTGTTAATTTGCAGCCCTAGTTGTCAGTACAATCGAATTTTGTGTTTCTAACATACCAACAACTATTTTTGTAATTAATAATTTTATTTCATTAGAATGTAAGATTTTGTAGTACTAAATTATTGTATGAATTGAATAATGTTAACAAATCAATGAAAAATGGATGGAATTTAATTAATAAAAATAACATTATTGTCACACATTTAAATATTTTTGTTAAAAAAAAATGTAAAATTTATAAAACAATCATTTCCAACTTTGGATAATAACAAACGTGTAGGTGCCGTTTGGTAACACTTACGTTTTCAGTTTTCTGTTTATATTTACAAATATTTTAAAAACTCAAATAAAAACTTGTTTGGTAAATTTTTGATTTATAAATCAGTGGTCTCAGTTTATAAATTTAGCCAAAAAATGAAAACGCAAAAAATGTGTTTCCGTATTAAAAAACATAAATTATTAAGAAAATATATATTTTTTATTTTATAAAATTTTAATATCATAAACTAAAAAAAAAAATCTTAAAAAAAGACAAAAAGAAAAAATATAAAAGGGATTAGCAAGACAGCCAACTCTTTCCTTCCACCCGCGGTAGCTCCCCATCTCACACGGTCGCACCTCATCTTTCTCCTCGGGAACAAGACCTACAGGTCCCTCATCTCTAATCGCGTAACCATTTCTAGGGTTTCTCGTCTCTCGCTTCTGACATCAACGATTGAGTTAATCTCCTGAAAACCCTAAAAAAATCAATTGGCGCTTAAAAACAACTTCGATTTTTCATAACCAATCTCAAATTTCCAAGTAAAACAAGCCATGGACGCTGTTTCGTGGAGTGCTCGTCTCTCTTCTGCCTCAAAGCGTTATCAACTTGCTCTTCAATCGCGATCTGGTAAGCACTAAATGCTCAATTCAATCTGCATAAGGTCCTTGATATAATACATGATTGGGTGTGTTTGTTTACCTTATTTTAACGGGAATTGTTGTATGTGTAGATATGTTCATGGGGTTTGAAGAAATCGATGGAGATGATGATATAAGAGAGGAGTTTCCTTGCCCATTCTGTTCAGAGTGTTTCGATATTGTCGGATTGTGTTGTCATATCGATGATGAGCATCCTGTAGAGGCGAAGAATGGGGTATTGTTCTCCTTTTTTTTTTTATACTGATGATCGGCCTTTACATGTTACATTAGTTAAATATGCAAGTTTAAAATTTTTAATTTTTAATTTTGTATGGACTGCTTGCCTTTTGGGTTTCAATTTTCTTTATATTTCGTTAGTTTTGGTTCTCCTTGCGCTTAGGCCCCGTTTGGGAAGCAGTTGTTTTAGTGGCTTTTTAGTTTTTTTTGGGCTAAAATATGAGTTGAAAAAATAATATCTTTGGGAATGATTCCCCCCCCTCCTCCTTTTATGAAAAAAGGTGCGAAAAATAAAGTTAATGGAAGGATTCTTTGACTTTTTTTTTTGGTAAGAATTGAAAATTTGTTGTTTTTTTAGTGATTTTTTAGCTTTTCGGCTAAAATATTGAGTTGCCAAACGACCCAAGTGTCTTTTCGGAGTTTGTGGGTCTAAGCATGAATTTTGAAAATTTCTTTGCATTTCTTTAGTGTTAGTCTGGCTTTCTAGCACTAATTTGATTTATCGGTGATGATGGACTCGCATGAAAATTTCTTTCTTTTCGCTGTTGTATAATATGGATTGCTGCAATTACACAGTCCCTTGGAAAAAAAACTAAAAAAAAAAGTAGGCTTCTTGAAGTTCAAGCTTAATTGTGGTGTTTATTATGGAATTGGAAGAATAATTGGATTGATTTGAGTTGTAATCACCCCCTTGCAGAAGGCAGGATTGTGGATGGCTTATGGTTTTTTTATTAAAAGCTCAAATACAATATTTTTGTAGCTAAACAGTTATGAGAAGTTTTAGCTTATTTGTAGGTGATTTTCTTTTGTTTTCTTCTTCTACTTCTTCTTCTTCTTTTGATTTTTTGAAGCTCTTTTACAAATAATAAGAGAAGCTCTTTCTTTGCAGGTGTGTCCAGTTTGTGCAATGAGGGTGGGGGTTGACATGGTTGCTCATATAACCTTGCAACATGGAAATATTTTTAAGATATCCTTTTAGTTGTTTTTTTGCTATTATTAATTTATTGGGCTTTGGAACCCTTCCTTTCACTGTTCTCGGATCAGTTCATTTTGCAACTAAATTTATAGATCTGATGTGTGTGGGGAGAACAATTGAATCTTTACTGAATAACTTCTGTGTAAGACTTCTACTTGCAAACATTTGAGTCTCTTTCAAAGTGCTTGAGTGTGAGATTGCATTCAGTTTTCTACCTGAATTCTGCATTTTTTTTTTACAATTTAAAGAGTTCTTTTAGTTAAGGTCCACGGAAAATAACTTTAAATAACTAAACACTTGTCTGGTTGACTGTCCTCATTTAGAAAAAAAAATTCTAAACTTTTACTTTTTTAATTATTTATTTATTTATGTGCTTTCTTAATACTAACTAAAACCATAACTTTATTGAGACTATGACTATATTCTCTGGATTCCTTGACAAGAAGTTACATGCAACGCAAGAGGAAATCTCGTAAAGTTGGATCCCATTCAACACTTTCTTTGTTGAGAAGGGAATTGCGGGAAGGAAATCTGCAGTCCCTTTTTGGTGGGTCTTCCTGTATAGTTTCTTCAACCAATGCTGCTCCAGATCCATTGTTGTCGTCGTTTATATTGCCTATGGTTGATGATTTTGGGAGTGTTCAGTCGCACCCTTCAGCTGAATCCATTTCTGTCAAGAAAAGAACAAATGAGAATGTTTCGGAAAGGTATGGAATGGCATTCTTACCTTCTTTCCTTTTTTTGGCAAATATGTAATCTTTTATGATTTTGGTCGCTTGTCTTCTAGAAACCTGGGTAATATTTGTCAGCTAGTTCCTGATTTTTGGACAATAGTAAATTCCTAATTGACTTGCATTTGCTTGCTGGGTGTCCTCTTAGTTCTATTATATTAAGTTGGTTCATTTTAATAATTGTACCACTCAAGGTAGTTGGTTTAAAAGGACTTAAACCACCTCGTGGTACCCTTTAGTCATTGTCTTTGCCTGTTGGATTTTCCTTCCTTGGGTGTCCAGGTGGTGGTTTTGTTTTCAATTCTCAATCTTTTAAAAACTTCTTTCTTGCGGAGTGGCATACTGAAAAAAGAAAGGGTTTGGAAGAAAAAAAGTAGATTCCCTTTTGTGGCCAAGAGTCCATCCTTGATCAAAGTCGAGTTTTACATCCTTGGGTTGGTGCAAAAGGCTTGTCACAGGTCCTTTTTTGAGCCCATCTTGAATACTATGTGGTAGGGTACTCGTGACCTTGCTGGTGGCTGCCACTGCCTCACACTTGAATGCCGCCAGCTCTGCCTTGCTACTTGAGGCATTTGTGACTTGGTTGGTCCGTCCAAGCTTCTACTCTAGCACCATATCATTCAAACTTGGTGAGTTTGTCTTGATTGCCATCGTCCCTGTTTGAAGTGTGAGATTGAGAAGTGAAAATTTATGAATTATGTTAATAACAAAAACAGATTCTCCTGAATTTTTTTATTTTTATTTTTATTTTTTTTCCAGAAAAAGCATAGAAAGCAAGTTGCTGGTACCCCAAAAATGATATTTTTATGAAGAAGCTTGGCTGCTTCTGAAATCATTACCATGTATTATTTTTGTTTTTTGAAAATTCATATTTGAGTACCTTAGTTGCTGGTTTTGCACAAACTTATTGAAGGCCATGATGTGATCCTTATTAGGCATTGTCCCAATCCCTTGTTTGGAATGAGCATACTTGGATTTGCTGCATTGCAGATTGAATAAGTTTATGGAAACTACAAGCTTATCTCAATAGAAAAGATGATTTTTTTCCCTGGAGGCCATTATCTTTGGCAAGTGAGTTTGCTCCACAAAGTTTGTGCAATCTCCCAACTTAACAGGTGCAATACCTGGGGCATTGGCTGTTCACACCGAGCTTACCTCACTAGGTGGGTCCAACAGGGCCTGCCCTGAGCAGGTTCTTGGTCATAAAAAGAAGGGATTTTGGAATTTACGAAAAGAAAATTACTTGGATGGTTGCAATTTGCAAAAGATGGTTCAAAACATTTAATAGTAGGCTTTCTAAGCCCATTTTTCCTGGTGTTGAGCTCTTTAAGTGGCTTCTAAATGCTTTCTTCTTAGAAATGTAGGGTGTGTTTGGTTTGTGTTTGTAGAGTAGTTTTTGAGATAAAAAGTACGAAAATTTGTTTGGTTTGTCTTTTTTCAGAAATGGTTTTGAAAAATTATTTTGAGGAGAGAGTTTTAAAAAAAGTGATTGATTTGATGTGTATGAGAGAGAGAGTGATTTTAGAAAATAGGTAACCAAACAAAATTTTGAAATTTTTTTGGGAAAAATTTGTTTGGTTTGATTACTCTTAAAAATTTGTTTGTAAAGAATTTTTCCCAAAATTTTTTCGAAAAAACAAACCAAACAAGGCCGTAGTTTCCATAAACTTTACTCCGGAGAGTTACAAAATATTATTCCGTGAAATCAAGATCATGTTGATGAAGCACTTCCTCAAGTATGATAGCATGTAGGGCTGAGCAAGGAATCCGTAATCCGATCCAGTCCAGTCCAATCCGATAGGTTTGGATTGATTTTTTGAATCCGTGGTTCGGCTCCGGATTAAAGAATTAAAAATCCGTAGTCCACGGATTGATTCCAGATTGAACCCCACGGTTCCGGATTTGAACCGATCCGGATCGTATACAAATAGTCTATATTTTTATTATACATCCTTCCCCATAGTATATTCTTTTATTCTATATAAAACCTAAACTCAAACCTAAACTCGTATAATATCTTCTTTTATTACTTTTGTTTGTTAGTTTTTAGTTTTAATTTGTAATGGTCTAAATACTTATAGTGAAACCAGCTTTCTTATAGTTATTTAAATTCTAGAACAGCGTGTTGTTATTATAGAAAAACATGTTGCTATTGTGAAACTAATATAGCGCTATGTTTATGTTTTTAAGAAATTAAAGTGTTAAATATATATTTTTTGTTATTTAATTATGTGAATCCGTGGTCCTAAACTGATCCAATCCGTGTTTAAATGGATTGGTTCCATGATTTAAATGGATTGGATTGGTTCCAAATTTTCAGAAACCGTAGATAACGGATTGGTCTTGGTTTTACCGCAATCCGGTCCAATCCGGAACATGCTCACCCCTAATAGCATGTGAATAGCAGAATACATTATCAACAAGGTGATGTGAGAAAGATCCATGTATGAGATCGATGCTTCGACTCGTGATGCCATCCACAATAAGATATTTACTAGATGACTGATATGATGCAAGTATGCAAGCTTGCAGTGAAAAAGTAGCAACTCTTGAAGAGATACCATCAAACAAAGTTAGGGGCTTCAAAGTGCCTCTGTCAAGTAGTACCAAAGCACAAAAGTAAGCTTGTTAATAGAAGAATCAATGATTAAATTCTCATCTTACATGATTTTGGAGTCAACATGTGGTGCTTCAAGTGGGCACAATACGTGGTGATTCAATTTTGGGCTCTACATTTTGGTCACTTCATAATAATTGTTATAGTAGAATTCTTCTTCCAAATAAATTTCATTCTCCAAATCATCTTGATATGCGCCTTCTAATGTGCTTTATGAGGTCAACATCTCCTTATTAATTTCTAGTCTTAACCCAAGAATAAGTTGATCAACAATATTACGTGGGTCATTACTAGTGTTTTTCAATTTGAAGGGAAAAAACCTTAGCTAAGTAATAAGAGAGACTAGGATCTTGTTGTCAAAGATTGATCACCTAGGCACCCTCAAGTGGATCCTCAACATGAGGTAAAAAGTTAGGGGTAATTGTAGAGTCAAAAGACAAAATCAACTTTTGTTTGTAGGCCCTGAGCATTAAATTTTCTACTGGCATTAAGTTGTAGCTAATGGTGACCATGTTTGTTATCAATGGCATTCAAGGTGTTGCTAATGTTGTTCATAAGGGCTTGAATAGTTTCCATATTTTGATTAAAAAAGTCCATTGTTTTAAAAGAGGAAAATAAATTCAAAATTGGACCTCTTGCAAATTTTAATAGCTCCCAATGAGAGAAAATATTAACTGCAATTTTGAAAGGAAAATATGTGCCTCTTGAAGCAAATAGGAACCACTAGCTGACTCAAAGTTGTGCACAAGGGTGATTGGCAAGCGTTGTGGGTTGAGAAAGGTAGCGGCGGCAATTTAATGGGGTGTAAGGATGTGAGCTTTGACATTATGGCGTGTAGATTTCATGTGGTATGAGAATACAATCCAAGCTAGCTAATTTCACTTGGCCTTGATGGTAGTACGGTAGTGGATGGTGTGATGCATAAAGGATGTTTATTTGCTGATGTGGGCTGGGCTAAGATTAGGGCTAAGGCCTAAAGGGACCTGGGGTATATGGGTAGCCTGACTGGATTATGGATAATTGGGCTTAAATAATGTAGTTGGGATAGATAGAGTAAAGTGGGTTGGGCTTAAATAAGAATAAGTGGGCCCTTTGTGGTTAAGGGACTTGGACAATTGGGCTGAATTGAGTAATTTTTTGGACTGGGCTTGTGGATAGATGGGTCAGTTGCTGGGTGTTTGGTAATAGTGTGGCCCTGGTTGTGGGTTTTTGTTTTTTTTGGAGATAGTGGTTACTGAGATGGACGGTAATAGTTGAGCTAAGCTCAATTTTTTTTTTCAGTTTTCCACTTTTGCCCTTTTAAAACTTATCTTGACATAAGTGACATTCAAATCTATACTTAAAACGCCAAAATACCCTAAATATTCAAATTTGTTACATGCAAAAATGCTCCATTTTCCATCGCCACTACTCTCACCAAACAATTGCAAACACTAACCTTAATAAGATTCAACAAAGGAGGAGGAGAAGAGAAAGTAAGATCAAAGAGATGGTGGTGGTCTGGTAGTGGAGGAGGTCCAATTGTAGAGGAAGGTGATGCAATGGTGGTCCAGTTGTACTTTAGCTATAGTTACCCGTCAATACATGGTGCCACTACTTCAGCCACCACCACACAGCCACACACTAGATGGATGAAGAGTGCTATAAGAAAAGATAAGAAATGAATCTATTAGGAGGAAATTTAGAAATGACACCAATTAAAGATAAAGGAAACTTGTTTGAGATGTTATGGTCATGTGCATTGTAGACCAATTAATGCATCTATAAGGAGTGATTTGATTCACGTGGAGGGTAGTAAAGGCAACAGAGGAAGACCTAAGAGAACATTTGTTGAGATGATAAGAAAACATACGGATATGTCAAATTTAACTTTTAATCGAGTATATATATGATTGCAAATAACATCCTTTGAAAGAATTAGATCCATGTAGCTGATCCGAAGAAATTGGAATTATGGCTTGTTGAGTTGAGCTAATATAGATTGTAATTACTCTTGCTTGTCAATAGACATTATTGTAATATACCTTATGCAATAATCTTATTGTTTGAAGTTTGAAAGTTACATAGAAATGCTTGCAGGTTGTGTTTCATTACAATTGTGTTGGAAGAAACTATTGCAAGCTTTTGTGAAATTGAAATTTGTGATGTATTTATGAGATTTGATTACCTTTCCGTCAAGTTTACGGTAATTAGGAGCAAATATGGAAACTTTTGCTTTTGAAGGAAATTAAAATTTGAGACATGCTATCAGACAACATTTTTTTAAAGAATGACAACTTTAGAATGAAAATCAAGTATTGCTTTTGGTACATTTTTAATGGAAGAATTTAAGGTTTTGAAGGACTTGCTAAGATTTGGATTAGTGTGTTTTTGTAAATAAACGGTTAACTGGATATTGAGAATCTTTTTTTTTTGGAAGTTTATCGGAGATAATTGCTTATTATGGTTGAAGTCCAACAAGATTGAGGAATAACTAAGTATTAAATGAATAGAAAAAGAATTCTTGTCCTCATGACAATGTCAAGTGAAAGTTCCATTGGATGAGAATGGTCAAACAAAGATGTGAGAATGTTATTTGAAAATGAATTTGGCCAAGCGGGTAATTCATTTTGGCGGGTTGGGCTTTATGGTATTGGGACTTTTTTGGGCCAATTTCCCCTTCTTTTTTTTTTTTTTTTTGGTTCTAAAAACGAAAGGGGCCTATTTTTGCCAGACTATTTCTGATGCCAACACAATATGTAAAACCTGACTTCTGTAATCTTAAACCTACACACAACACAAATAATTACACAATTCAATTATAATTTACAATCAGACTATTTGAAAAACGTGAGAGCGTCAACATCAAATCATATACACAATGCATTATACTAATGGGAAAAGTGCATGAGATGGCAACATAAATAAGACTACACTCATCCAAAAATTGAAAAAAGGAGCACACAGTGGCCATGCACTTAATTGCTAGTGCATTGTCATTTTGCTGAAATTTATGTTGAATTTTCTTGGATGTGCAGGTTTACATCTTTGAAGGAATTGCATGATTCATGGCCGGTTTCATATTTACTTTTTCATAGTCATATTTATTTTGACATCCCATGTATTTTTCACATTAATCTCATTCCTTGTGTATCTGATTTAAATTTGATTCTCTTGTGTTTTTCTACTAGTTTGATTGTAAATTGTGTTGGAGTTTATGGAATTTGTAATTATTTGGGTTGTGCGTAGATATAAGATTTAAGGAAGTGTGGTTTATATTATGTTAATTTGGCATTAGAAATAGTCTAGCAGAAATAGGCCCCCGTTTTGTTAAAAATATATATATATATATATATAGGGGGAGATTGACCCAAAACAGTAAAATATTGTTTGTTCGGCCTTGGTTAGACATTTCTCAACCTAACAACTTTTGGTCGGGTGACAGGTAATAGACCAATCCACCTGACCCCGACCCCTTCCCCAACCTGTGAGCAGGCATACTTTTTTTTAGAATTTTGGATGTGAGAGGGATTGGCATATATTGTTGTCTTCCTGCATTAATTGCTAGAGAAATGATAAAATGACTAGACTAATAGGGGATGGGACTTTTGATGGCATTGATAAGACTAAAGTAGGAGCCAATGCAATTTTTGTGTTTATGGAGAGATACTGGAATTAGAATGTTTTTAAATAAATGGGGCTAAAAGACAACATTTTCTTAAATAGATAAAAATATTATTTATAAATGAGGCTATAAGATAACCTTTGAGGTGATATGAGACCTTTTTAGTTTAGATTTTGTCAGGGCAAAGAAACAGTTGGAGTAACACCTTATTTTGTTCTTTGCTTAAAAGGGTAGAGAAGAAGAGGATAACAATATGAGGAAAGAGAATTTATTTATCCCCATATTTCTATACATAGAAGTGGAAAATATTTTAAAAGGAGAATTCTACTTGTCTCCCTGTTAATTTGAATCTTAGTCCATTCTATATTTTTCCCAATTGCTTCAATTTTGTCTTGATACTTCTCTACTATCCTTGACTTAATTTTTAGACATTTTTTGTTGCTCTTGTTTCTCCCTTGCCAAACAAACTGGTCACAACTGGTAAAAATTTATATAAATATTATGCTGATCAATGGTTCCCAAGAGGTGAGAGGAGCGGCGCTGGGGGTTTGGGGTTTGAAGAGGAAGTCACTAAAAAAAGTGAAAATTTTACTAAAGGCCAACAACTTGAGCTGTGAAGTGTTCTGTAGCCAGCAACTTGAGCTGAACATATTTACTGGATATTGGAATGGACATGTGCTAAGAGAAGAAAGCTCTCAAATTCAATTAAGAAAAGAAGAAAGTAATGTAGTTATGTAATATTAAGTCTGAACTAGCTTGGTTGAGCAAGTCTTTGTGGTGTCTGAGCTAGCTTTGAACAGATTTATTACGATTTTCTACTAAATTTGGAATCCTTGGAAGACATGAACCGCAAGTTGAAGCATGATAGTTAGGTGCTTAAATCCATACTGATTTGTAGTTTTGACCTTTTAAGTTGTGTCATACTTGATTAATTGCAATGGGGAGGGTGTTGGTCCTCAAGATCACATCACAGAGGTAGGGTTATATTGGAGACCCTCGTGTAATTTCTTCTTTTCTCTCAATAAATTTTGGTTCTCTACAGTAAAGCCATTCTTGGGTATCAAAGCCAGAGAGGAGAGCTGTGCCAGCAAAACCTTTTAGTTATGAATTATGATTACTCCCAGCCAAAATACTTAAATATAAGAGATCTTTCATCAACTGTACAGAAAGATTTAAAAGAATTTGAAACCCTGGATACATTCTCGAATAAGTTCAAGCAGTGATAGAGTTCAAGCAGTGATAGATGCTCTCAAGTTCATGTGAGCTTGAAAATATACATGGTCTAGTTGGCTTGGGATAAAGTTTTCCTCACTATATTTTATTTGTCAAGATATACCCCTAGTTAAAGATTGACATGTGATAGGGCAGATGCGCTTCTTTGTATTTGATCACCAGTCAAACCTAGCACACATGAGCTTTGGAACATCAGCTAGAGTCTTACACAACCTTGGGAACATTAGTTAGAGTCTTACAATGACCGAGTTTTGAAGCCAACGAGCCTAAACAGGCAGAGTTCAAACTGTTCATGAAGGTTATTGCTTATTTGCAGTCCTAGTTGAAGAGAAAGATGCTAGCTATGCCATAAAGAGTGTACTTTCAGGATGATGTACATATTCTATGGGTGCAACTCGGGCAGGTTCGTTTGGGTTGGGAGGTTGTCCAAGCCCAAGTTGTACAGAGACCTGCTCAGGCCTGCCCATACCCGACCCGAATTACCCAAGTTGTCCGAATTGTAAATGAATTTCAGATTTCAATTGTTTTTTTGCTGCTACATTATTAAATTATTAAAAATTGACTCTATTTACATTTTTTTTTTTATAGAAAATCATTAATACCATCAAAATAAATAATTTATATAATGTAAGAGAGATGTCGCTATGGCAGTCTTTACAATTTATAAGTGAAAATAAGAAAAGAAGTAGGATCTTATGTTATTTGTATATATACTATATATTCAATATAATTTAATAATCTAAATTACTTTAATATCATGTAATGGCTAATAATTTATATGTGTATTTAATACTTTTATATATCTATATATGTATAATTTGGGTTTTGGGTTGCTCGGGTTGTTTGACGTCTTTGCCAAAACCCGTCCAAATTTAATTCGGGCTTCTGAGTTTTTGTCCAAACCCGTACCGAGTTTGAAAATATCTTGTTCAAGCCCTAAAAAAATTCGGGTTGAGTTTGGGTTGCTCGGGTTGAGCCCGCCCAAGTTGCACTCCTAACATATTCCATGTTAAAGATATTGCAAGGATGATGTTGAGGAGAGGTTATGCATTGAGATAATAAATGAGATGGTTGCCTATGACCAAGCTGGAAAAACTTTTCCTCCTACGGTGAAATGGCAAACAGGTGTTCTGGTAATTGACCTTTATGAGTTCAGGGTTAAAGTCTTTGGGTGTTTGAGCTATTAGTGCTCATTTGTATGAAATTGTGAAAGTCATCATCTTGTCTAATGGCATTCCTCTAAAAGTACTATCTATCAACATTGAGATGTTGTTTGGTTATAGTGCACCAAGGAAAACATGAGAGCTCAAAGGGTAGACGGCAGTGCTTCGTCAACCTACTTATAAGAAAGGGTTCTGTGTCGGTGTATGGCAATTGAACCATTTTAACACCAATAATAGTGCCATCTGGCTCCATGGGGTGATTGGAGTTGACCGGCATATCAACATAAGATGTCTATATGTCACCGTATTTGTAAAGGGAGCTTCAGTTCTTTTGGAATTGTTATTGGTGGTATTGCATTGTATATGCTTAGGCTTGCAAGGATTTAAAGGAGGTGTTAATTCACAATGTCCTGACATTTGACTCTGTATAGTAGTATTGCACTATATAGTCTAAAAAGGACATGTTCTGTAATTTACTCCTCTCAGTGTGTCTTTTCCTCCAAGTCTGGTACAGTTGCATAGAGAAGAGTGCATGTGTAGGCATATGCATATGGCAATGGAATAAGAATAACTTGAATTCAGTTCGGGTGCTTGTCACCGTCTACATTTATTATTTTGAATATTACCAGAGTGTAAATTATTTCTAAGTTACCTACATAATAACATTAATTATTCTAAAGTAATGGAAATTAAATGTAAGGGAAGATGTAAAGTAATAGATGGCATGCAAGGACTTCCAGTTGCAGTTGTGTTGTGTTGCCAAAATAAAGCAATTTGTTCAAGGATAACAGTAAAAAGGAAGTTTGTAGCAAGAAAGAAAGTGTTTTTCTTTTCCAGGAAAGTAAATGAGTGTATTATATGTTACGCATCAATAAATTATTATACCTTTTCTTATGATTGCATGTCAGATCTCTCTCTCTCTCTCCTGAAGCTAATATTGAATTTTGGTTGCAGGGTTGCCCATCCTTCTCCATTATCTATCAAGGATCAGAAGGAGAAGGCAAGTAGATCTGAGTTTGTTCAAGGATTGTTGCTGTCCACCATGCTTGACGACAACTTATGAGGAAGAAGGTCTGTATGTGGGCTACTGCCGTGGTTTGTCAACCTCCAAATATATGCAGCCTAGAGGAGAGCTGCATGAGAGCTTGTACTACTTGTTTGTAGAAGTATATGTTAAATGTATTAAACAAGTGAGATGAGAAAATAAGATGATGTAATAAATGTAATTTATGTTGCCCCCATATGTGGAGTTTAGTATGTAGTTAGGCGGAAACCAGGCTCTTGTACTCTGTTTTATTTTGTAATTCATGCTTCATTTCATTGATCAAAAAAACAAAAAAACAAAAACGTATTACTGCGTGTGGCTCTGCTTCCTTTCCAACCTAAATCTGCATTGAATTTTCTTTGTTAAAGCTGGACTTTCTGGATTGGATATCCGAGTTTGAGTTTCATCTCTGATGCATGATGAGAAGCTATAGAACGTAAAGTTTCTATGTGCCTGTTCGGCAGAGTTTAATTACAGTTTATTTCAGCTTTCAGCTTAATTTAAGCTATTTTGATGTGTTTAGTTTAGCTTATAGCTTATAGTTTATAACTTTTTGAAAGTCAGAAATCAGCTTATTCTTTGAGTGGGGCAGGAGATGCTTTAAGAATAAGCTGTAAATCAGCTTAAGCCGAAAGTTATAAGCTATGAGCTGTTGAGGTATAAGCTATAAGCACTTTCCTACAGCTCTACCAAACAGGGCCTGTGTACAGTAAATGAAAAACCGTTGTGCGGGTTGCACTAAATAATTTGTCTGATACCTGTTTGGACTTAAATTCCTTGCTTAAATAATGAAACTTACCAGCATAAAATCACAATGCAAAAACCTAAAAAGATTATATATACTACTAATAATAATGAGAATTACAATAGTAATAAATTCTTAAACAATTCATTTATGCTGTGTTTGGTTGGGGGATTTGGGGAGGGATTTGGAAAGAGAAAGGGAAAAAATGTGTGAAACTATGTGAAATATAGGCATGATTTATTCACATTTCACCTACTTTTTTCATTTTCCTTTCCAAATCCCTTCCTAAATCCCCCAACCAAACACTGTATTAGAGTCTCTGTAGAATGTCATTTCTCTTTTTTCTTCACAAATTTAAGATCCAAACCAAACAAAGCCCTATGATCAAAAGCTTCGTATGTCTCTGTATCTGTGCATCACAAAGAACATTAAAAAAAAAAAAAAAAAAAAAAAAAAGGAATCCTCCCCTCCTACTTCAGTATCAGTTTCCAACTACCATGTTCTCTCATTGTAATTTTTTTTTTTTTTTTGTTGAGAAAATCACAAATCTCTAATTTTACACGTCACAGATTTTATCACATGCATTAACTTGTACCTACCAACTCTTAAAGCTGATCCAATAACAACACACACTTTTCATTAATCAAATAAATAAATAGACTTGGATGTTCAAGGTCAGTGAATTAACTGCATTAACAAGTCAAGAGAGAATCAACAGGACGAAAAATTCTTCTTTGTCCATAGCCAAAAATCGACTGTTTTTACTGATCAAGTAAACAACAAAGAGCGTTTGATTTTCAGTGCCAGTTGTTTATCCATATAAATAATTTAACCACAACTTCTGTCTTAATTCCTAGCCAAAAAAAAAAAAGAAGAAAAATTGCCTATGCAGTAAAGAATAAGGAGCCATCTCAATCCCAATCCAACCCTTAAACAATGAAGGCACTCTTGTGTGTCCATGATCTCCCTCACCACATGCCTCGCAAATAAATCGAAACAAGATGAGCAGCAACTCTTTATCATCAGTCTCATCTGTCCACCTGCCATTCCTCATGATTCATATTTCTCTTCCCCAGTATGCTCAAGGCCACGTAGAGCTAAAATGGTGTGTGTAGAGTTCCTTGCAATGTCCTTGAAAGTATTGTACCCTACAAAATAATTAGGGCAATTTTAGCATCAAAAACACCTGCTCGTGTATGTTAATATTATTCCACACACGCATGACTAAATTTATATGCAAGATGCATTAAAAAAGTACATCTTTCAGTTTCTAAAAGATAAGCTTGCCTAATAAAAGTCTGCCTAATTGCGGTACTGAATTCTCACTAATGTGCTTATGTCTATGAAAGAGTATAGGCAAGCTTCGTGCACTGCGTGCCGACCTAATACCACTCTCAATCCCTCACCTATGCAACTAGTGGTCATGTTTGTAACTACACCTTATTCCACGTCATTTATTCTGAAATTCCAAACATCAATGCAGTTGAAAACAAAAACAGTTAACATGACAAAACTAAATCCATTTCTGAGTATAAGCATTTCAAATGGCTTCTTCCCACTATTGATTGCACTTGTTCCTTTTTATTCATCAAAAGTGACTCACCTCTCTATATCTATACGGGGCCATGTTAGTGTCACTGATGCTTGATCTGCTGCTACATGGATGGAGTTGCTCGTAACCCAATCTTGAATTGATACCCACACCGATCGCACCAGGTCCGGCAGCAGATGTAGGAGTTTGATCCTGAATTACTTGACCCCTTGAATGCCTCGACCTTGCAGAAAAAATATCCCTACTCTGGAATGAAGTTGTGAAATTGTCCTGTAACCTTCCCTGGAAAAAGGTATGTTGACGAGATGCTAAAATTTGTTGCATTATTGCTGGTTGAAATGATACATCCCCACCGCGCTCCATTTGAGACTCCAAAATATTATTTCCCCAAGTTGTAGCTGACATCCCATTAGTTCTACCGCCAAATTGGCTCACTCTATTACCAAGTAGATGGTTTATCTGATACTGTATTCTATGTCTTTCTGACACAGTTAATACCCCTACCCCTGCTCCTGATACTGGAGAAGCAGCTTGAAAATCTCCACCAGGACGTCTAGGAGATGAGAAAACCCTAGGCAGTACCTGAGGCAATGTTGTTTCAGGTATTGTGTTAAGGTCTATAGCCTCCCTAACATTCTCATTTGGAAATGATCGTCCAGACAAGTCGTTGATTGTTCTTTGGACAGGCATAGGATTCGGAGCTTGTGGATTTGCGGAACCAAGAGCAGTTGGTCTACAGCCTTCGCAATACCAATTACCTTCTGGGACTTCGCATCCAAGACCAACACAATAAGTATGTGCCGGTGAATCACAGAGATCACAAAGTAACATAAGAGCATCATGACCACCTTCCCGGCATTCAATACAAATCACATTTTCATATGGGTCAAGATAACCCCTAAATTCTTCTTCAGATGGTCGATAAACCTGCAACTTGCAAAAACCATTTCAATCAGGGAAATGAAGTAGATATAAAATACTTCAATGAGAATCAAACAAAAAATGGGGCCTCTTTATGATACAAAAATCTTGAAAATATGGTCACACAAAGATACCTGATCACGTTCCGGGACTTGTACTACCATGGTCCTCAAATCAAACTCCGTGTTTGAGTTCGCGGGCTTACTAATAGTCACGAACCTTTGCTTGCACAGAGGGCAACGAGATTCGACCTTTGACCACTCCATTACGCAAGCAAAACAAAAATAATGACTGCAACAATTTAATGTTCCTTGAACAGTCTTCTTTCCTTGTTCTGACAAACAGATCCCACATACTTGCTTTCCTGCTTCATTTTTCATATCCTCTACCTTATCCTTACCCTTTCTACCCAGACTTTTTCTTTGTCGACACAAAACCCCTTCTTCTTGTAATATTTTTTGCGAAGATGAGCTCCTCAAACTAGTAGTCAAATTCAAGCAAAATTGACTGGCCTCTCTCACATGTTCTTTCTCTTCTTCTGACATAGTATACCCAAAATCAGACGATACAGAACTCACGAAATCTGAATCAGAATTTTCCATGAATCTCCTCTCCCTTGTTCCGGAAATTTTCTTGTTCCTTTCTTTCACAACTGGGTTCTTTATGAATGCTACATCATTACTGGCAGCCAATTTCCCACGGCTCTTGGTAGGTTTCTTTCTTAAAGGCTTTTTCATAACCTTGGAACTCCTCTTCCTCTTTCGTCCTTTGACAAAACCCTTTTCCTGTAAACGGGGCCTCCCTACTTTCTTATTCTTCTTCTCAACTGCCAACTCATCCTCATCATCACCTAAATCAATTTCATCAGGCATAAATTCATCATCATCATCATCCTCAACCTCAACTTCGTAATCCTCATCATTTTCTTCTTTATATGAAACCACCCTTCTTTTCTTGCGTTCCTTCCCAACCACATTTTTCTTCGCACCTGGAAAACTCTTTCTCCATCTTGACCTACCAACCACCCTCACCTCCTCCTCCGCATCCTCTTTTTCTTCTTCTTTTTGAAATTCATCTAAACTCTCTTCTGATTCCTCTCTAGCTAAAGAAGAGCAATACTCCTCAGAATCTTCAAATTCTTCATCTGCTCCAACTGTGTAATCGTCATCTGATTCCGATTTATCAGATCCCTTGTCTTTAGACCCAATTTTTCTCTTACCAAGTTGCTTGTTCCCAACCTTCCCTCCCCTCCCCATCTTCTCTTGCACACAAAACAAGAACAATACCAATAGTCAATCAAACTGAACCATTTAAGAGTCCCTCTAACTCATCAAATCTAATGAAATTAAAACACATAAATCTCAACATTCCATAATTTGTTCATTTCTTGTTTAAGCTTTATTCAAAATAATAACAATAATAATAATAGTAATAACCAATCACCCCTCATCATCGATCTGTGTCATCAAACAGAAAAAACAGAGCAAACCCTAAACCCTAAATCACGTAATTTTGAAGGTGTAATAAAGAAATCATCAATACAGAATCAAACAAAAAAAAAAAACCAATTGAATTTGCCACCGAATAACATCAACCCAAAAGCATATAGATTAATTCGATTCAAATTCCATTTCGATAATCTAGATAGAGAAAGTTCATCATTACCAATCGTATGAGAGCAATAAATCAGATAATAATCAAAGACAGGTACAATAATTTTGGAATTGGATTCCAAAAAGTTGTAGAGCGAGAGAGAGAGAGAAAGAAAAGTACCTGAACGACTCCGGAAATGCGAAACAAGAAATTAGTGGGTTACATGTTGTTTTCAATTGTATGGTATATACATATATGGGAAATTCTATACAGCTAATATCGACATATACACACTAGGTATATATACACAAATCTTTCAGAAGCGAACAATCTCTCTCTACACAGAGAGAGAGAGAGAGAATTGATAATTTCACGCCAAACGCAACTACGCCTCTCTCTCAATTGGAGGCTTCCTGCAAAATTACGAGAATGACGCTGTGCATTGTGAAGCAGTTCAACTGAAAATGTGACTTTGAAACTGGCAGTTGTTTTGGGTTTTTAATTATATATTTTTAAGAAAAGTTCAAATGTAATTATATTAATGCTCTGTTTAGACGAAAATTATTTTCTAATGTTGTTTTTGATTGAGGGGTTTGGGAAGAGAAAGGAAAAAGTGTGTGAAATTAGGTAAAATATAGGTATATTTTATTCACATTTCACCTAATTTTTTCTTTTTCATTTCCAAATCTCTGCTCAAATCTCTCAACCAAACATAGCATAATAGAAACATTTTTTATGATTTTTTTTTATATGTTCGGTGGTGATGGAGTGGTGGTCTGGTGATGATGGTGATAGTGATTGTGGCGGTGACAGTGGTGGTGATGGTTTGGCAGTGGAGGTGATAGTTGCGGTGGTAGTGTGATGACATTGCTAAAATTTTAATTTGGAAAATATTTTTCACATTTTAAAAATAAAATAGTTTTTGCTCAAATAGACTAGCTTTTTGTTCACCATAAAAAATATTTTATGTTAACTGTAGGGACATAATTTTTGAATGACAACACGTGGCTGAGGTGTCACCGAAATGTCAACCGAGGTGCCACGTGTCCTGGTCATGACGCCGAGATGATCTCGGCTAAGCCGAGGTTATCTGCGAAGATACTGGAATCTGGGATAAGCGGATAAGGGACAAGAGTCCTAGAATGGGAGAAGACTTCAATTTGGGTAAAGATAAAGACTCTAAAAGAGTTTATCCTAATTCTATTGGGAGTCCAAGATTATCAGTAATCCTAAAGTCCATTGAAGTTAGGCTTCTATTGGGATTAGGTAAGTGTTGGCTATAAAAGAGAGGCACCCCCATGGGTCTAAGGTATGCTTTTTATATTCTGAATAGTGAGTTAAGCAGTTTTGCTATTTGTGAGAGATAACTGACTTGATCGTCAGAGTGCCCCCGGGTGGACGAACCACTGCCGGAATCTCTTCTTTCTGTGACAGGTTGTTCGGGTTTAATCAATTCTACCAGTGTTCTCCAGCTGAGTGCTTGATTGGCAGTGTGGTCAGGAATTGACACACACAATTTGGCGCCGTTAGTGGGAACGAAAGGAGAATAGATGGCCAACGACAGACAGAAAGAGAAGGTTAGGGACGACATCCCTATTGAAAGTGGGAAACATATTGACCTTGACGTCAAAAAAGACAACTGCAACGAAGAGACTTGTGATAAGAATCACAGAGGAAATGACGTCGGCCAGGAGGGCGGCGTACCGAAGAAATCGGAACATAGCGGGTATTATAACGAGGACGACCTCCAGGTATGGAAAGATAGATGCCTGCGGAGGGACGACGAGATGAAGGGAATGACGGACAAATTGGCAGACCTGCAAACGGTCGTTAATTTCTTGATGTAGAACAACGTCATGCAGCCATCGTTCCCGCTACAAGATATGTTGATTCCAGCGGCCAAGAAAGGTGCCCAGAAAGGGGGGCAGAAAACGGTTCCTGCAGTTCCTCAGCATGGCGGGACCGAGGGACATTCTCACCGGCCTTCGCGGGAGGTCGGGCGTGGAGAATCCCAGAAGACAAGATCTCGGCCTAGATGATTAAGTCCGAGAAGAGAAAAGCTCAGCCTAAGTTAAAGACTTTTTATATAAAGTCCACAAAGGAGTAGGTGAAAGCCATGCAGAGGGCTGGAGAATGATGCTTGGGAGTTAGAATTTTCAAGCCAAGATCAGTTTAACACTTGTTAAAATTTTAAAAAAAAAATTACAAGTTGAAATTAAACTGAGGTCATGTTTAACACTTATTGAAATTTAAGAAAAATTTACAAGTTGAAATTAAACCGAAGTTATGTTTAACACTTGTTGAAACTTTAAGAAAAATTTACCAGCTGAAGTTAAACCGGGGTTATGATTAAAGGAAGGAATGATATAGGTTCCATCACCTCAGGATGCCGAGGTAATAGAACCTAGGGGGCAGTTGTGAGGACATAATTTTTGAATGACAACACGTGGCCGAGGTGTCACCGAAATGCCGGCCAAGGTGTCACCGAAGTGCCAATCGAGGTACCACGTGTCCTGGTCATGACCTCGAGATGATCTCTGCTAGGCCGAGGTTATCTACGAAGATATCGAAATCCGGGATAAGCAGATAAGGGATAAGAGTCCTAGAATGGGAGAAGACTTCAGTTTGGGTAAAGATAAAGACTCTAAGAGAGTTTATCCTAATCCTACTGGGAGTCTAAGATTATCAGTAATCCTAAAGTCCATTGAAGTTAGGCTTCTATTGGGATTAGGTATGTGTTAGCTATAAAAGAGAGGCACCCCCATGGGTCTAAGGTATGCTTTTTATATTCTGAATAGTGAGTTAAGCAGTTTTTCTATCTGTGAGAGATAACTGACTTGATCGTCGGAGTGCCTCCGAGTGGACGAACTATCGCCGAAATCTCTTCTTTCTGTGACAGGTTGTTCGGGTTTAATCTATTCTACCAGTGTTCTTCAACTGAATGCTTGATTGGCAGTGTGGTCAGAAATTGACACACACATTAACTTTTATTTTTCACTGTACCAACCTCCAAAAAATACATATAAAATATTTTTCGTCCAAACAAACGGAGCGTAAAAAAAAGGGAATTGTTTTTAATGACCCTAATATTAAGATTTTTCATAGTAGTTAAGGTCACTCAACATTTTTACAGAGAAAATTTGACTCAGAGAAATTTAGCATGACTCGATATAGAGAAATTTTAATTTTCACAAAGAAATTTATCTGATTTCACAAACAAATTCCTAAATTTCTCTCGTATGATCACAGAAAAATTTCATCAAGGAATTTTAGTTAATAAAAAAAAGATCTTCAACCACTCTTACTATACAAAGTTGAAGATGATGTTGCATTATTTTTTTCCAAAAGAAAAATGAATATCATATAAAATAAAATAAAATACAACAAAGCTTAAAGGGTTAAACAAGAAACCCTACACACAAACTATAAACTACAAAACAACCCAAAAAAAACAAATTTGACTTGACGGTAGGGGTGGACACGGGTCGGTTGCGACCATGGAACCTCCAAACCACTATCTATCTTCCAAAATAGTGGATTGGAGAAAATCAACTTTCATCCATTCGCCAATTCGGCAGATGTGGATTGAGTTGATTGGCGGATGGATGCGAATCGGTTTGGCAGTTTAAAATTTTACAAATTGTCAACATAATTCAACATGTGCACTTCCTCAAAAAAAAAAAAACCAAAACCAAAACCAAAACCAAAACCAAAACAAAAACAAAAACATGTGCACTTCATTCCTCAACGACCACTTGTGCGCAATGCATATATAAACCGCCAAAAGATTATCAAATAAAACCAACCCATGACCAAAAAAAAAAAAATAGTGCAGTGATCAAATTTTCAAATGATCACAGAAAAATTTCATCAAGGAATTTTAGTTAATAAAAAAAAGATCTTCAACCACTCTTACTATACAAAGTTGAAGATGATGTTTCACTATTTTTTTCCAAAAGAAAAATGAATATCATATAAAATAAAATAAAATACAACAAAGCTTAAAGGGTTAAACAAGAAACCCTACACACAAACTATAAACTACAAAACAACCCAAAAAAAACAAATTTGACTTGACGAAAGGGGTGGGCACGGGTCGGTTGCGACCATGGAACCTCCAATCCGCTATCTATCTTCCAAAATAGTGGATTGGAGAAAATCAACTTGCATCCATTCGCCAATTCGGCAGATGTGGATTGAGTTGATTGGCGGATGGATGCGAATCGGTTTGGTGGTTTAAAATTTTACAAATTGTCAACATAATTCAACATGTGCACTTCCTCAAAAAAAAAAAAAAAGTATTACAGTTAATGACTTAAAAAATAATTAGAATCACTGCATGCCTCATTCAAAGAAAGAAAGTTTGAAATTTTAGAATATTACAATCAGTGCATGCCTCATCCACATATTACAATCACAGCATGCCTTATCTACATAAAGTATTACAATATGTGATTCTTAAAATATAAAAACAATTCAAACCACCAAAATCATGAACAGAGTAGTAGTAGAGATTGTATGTCTATGTATTGTTACATCTATATCATCTTTTTTAGTTATTATTTTTAGAGTTAGATTTAAAAACCAAAAAATATAGATAAATAATACATTTATTTTTTTTAATTAAAAAAAATATATTCAAGTTGAAAACTCTTTTTCAACAGAATATTTAAACTCTTTTTCAATTGAAACACAAACTAAATATATAAATAAATTGAAAATTTACTAAGGGTGCTCGTGGTTTGGCGGTTTGGTTGCGGCCAAAGGAATCTTAAATCCGCCATCTGTCCAAAACTAGGCGGATAAAAAAAATCAATCTGTAACCATCCGCTTGTCATTACGTATCTGTCCAAAATACGGCGGATTGGTAAGGTGCGGTTGGTTTGGACAGATCGGTATATCCGCTACTCATCCCTATTTGACAGTAGTCTCTGTATTTGTAATTGACTCAATTTTGATAATAAATTTATGAATTTGTTTCATTTTGATCCAATTGATTACAACTCTTAGTGTTCTTTAATGAAAAATATGTACATAAATGGCATATGTCATGCTTTAGGGCAAAATCACAAACTTAATCAACTCATTGAGTTAACTTAAACCAATCCAGTGATAATTTTTTATATTAAAAAAAAAAAAAACTAGTATCATTATCAATTGAACCAAATTGACACAAAATCTAAAATTAAGAGTCAAAATTGAGTTAATTGAAAGTGTAAAGACCAAAATGATACAATAGACAAAATGAAGAAACTATTAGTGTAATTTGCCCTTTTAAAAAAAAACTATTAATCTTCTCACTAGGGGTGATAAACGAACTAAAAAGTTTAAGCTCGACTTGTGTTTGACTCATTAAAAACTTGTTTGAATTCAGTTTGTTAATAACTAAATCAATCTTAAACACATTCGGAGTTCATTAAAGTTTTCAAACCAAATTTAAACAGTTAATTGATTGTTTAGCTCGGTTCA